ATATATACACGGTAGGTACACTAAGACAGACAAGGTAAATGACTGACTACATCTGGAAGGGTTAATACAGACATACAAATATATACACGGTAGGTACACAAAGACCAACAAGGTAAATGACTGACTACATCTGGAAGGGTTAATACAGACATACAAATATATACACGGTAGGTACACAAAGACAGACAAGGTAAATGACTGACTATATCTGGAAGGGTTAATACAGACATACAAATATATACACGGTAGGTACACAAAGACAGACAAGGTAAATGACTGACTACATCTGGAAGGGTTAATACAGACGTACAAATATATACACGGTAGGTACACAAAGAGAGACAAGGTAAATGACTGACTACATCTGGAAGGGTTAATACAGACATACAAATATATACACGGTAGGTACACTAAGACAGACAAGGTAAATGACTGTCTACATCTGGAAGGGTTAATACAGACGTACAAATATATACACGGTAGGTACACAAAGACAGACAAGGTAAATGCCTGACTACATCTGGAAGGGTTAATACAGACGTACAAATATATACATGGTAGGTACACAAAGACAGACAAGGTAAATGTCTGACTACATCTGGAAGGGTTAATACAGACGTACAAATATATACACGGTAGATACACTAAGACAGACAAGGTAAATGACTGACTACATCTGGAAGGGTTAATACAGACGTACAAATATATACACAGTAGGCAGGGTGGGACAACTTAGGAATGGCCAGGCGTCCGAACTTGACCACACAAAAGGAAGCGAGCTACAAAAAACATGTTTTATATCATTGGAAAGATCTCGAGGAGAGGAATCTAAATAATGTGTGTCCTAGTGTGTTCACATGTTCACAAGCTCAAAAATTGGCTCAGAAAATGCATTACTGCATTTTTTCTGCAGAAATTTATGGCAGTATTTTTTTTCTGCAGAAATTACTGGCAGAATTTATTCCTGCAGTAATATTTAGCAGGATTGTTTTAATTCAAGTAATAAGGTTCAATCATTGGATTGTTTAATCTGGAGTTTCTTTAAATGACCTTTTTCCCCAAAACAAACAGTTTTAGTTCACATGATTACAAGCACAAAAGATAAAACTAATTTCGTGAGATCTTTCAATAAAAATATTTATTCACATGCTATATTACAAGACATGTCCTTGGGCGACTTTGCACTATGTCTCATGGGTGAGGCGATGTTTTCAGAGATGGGTCCTGTCACAGAAGAAAATAGCTGTATAGACGAGTGGATCCATATTGTCTAATACAGCATCAGATAAATTGCAGCCTATATGCAGCATAGAGTTTACAATAGAGCCTGCGGAATAAGATGTATCATGAATATAAATAGTCTGCTTTACTTACATTTTCTTCTCAACATACTTGAAATGAATTCTTTTTTTCATCTGGTCATTGAAACCTATGTGCACATATTCTGAAAAGATATGAAAAAACATTAAAATGCTTTTCATTTCAGTAATAAACAGAGTCCACATGCCTTAGCCATATGAACAATAAGAGAGGTGAGGTGAGGTGAGGTGAAGTGAGGTGAGGTGAGGTGAGGTGAGGTGAGGTGAGGTGAGGTGAGGTGAAATTGGGTTTAATGTCACGTCCAAGATTTTTGCACATATATAGCGACGTGTATGCGTGTGTGTGTGTGTGAGTGTGTGTGTGTGTGGCTGCTTGTACTAGTCCGGATTGATGCTAGCCCACTAAAATACCATGCCGCAGTATAACATGAATACCCTACTCAAACACAGTACATGAATCCAAGCTGACCAGTCCCTGTTTTAGCTCCTTAATGCCGAGCGCCAGACAGGGTAACAACAAGTACCATCTTTTAACATCTTTTGGTATGACGAGGCCAGGGATCGACAATGTAAGACTTAAGACTTAATTATTGATGGTAAGCAAGAAAATCATTAATCATGTTGTAATCTGTGTCAAAACTATTATAACTGATTATGTTGATGCTCTATCTTTGTATTCTGCTTACCTCTAACCTAATCTTGTTTGTTGATAGCCCCTCGTCTACGTTGTAGCCAGTCCAATGTACGTTCACTTTCTCCTTTAGGACCGATAATATTTTGGCTTTATACCTGTATTTGTTTTAAAAAGATAAAAAATAAATCAACGATTTAGGCAGAAAATGAAGGATAACATGAATTTCCATTTTCACTGTTCTGTAAATAACTTTTGCCCCACTGACATTTTCCCAGAATCTATTATTAGCAGATGGAAAACACAACACTACTGGAATACAAAGTGTATAGAAGTTCTTTTAAAAACAATAAGTCAAACCAACCAACTCAAACCACTATGCACTTCCTGTCAGAAAACATTTAACTTCTATCACATGTCTCCCTAATTTCGATAATACAATAACAAGTTCTTGTCAGTAACTGTAACCATGAACTGGACTTCAAAGAGAACATCAAATTATAGAATTTTTATACTCAGATGCTACTTACATGAGTTAATCTGCATGTCATCACATAAAATGTCAGCTTAAAACCCAAAGGTTTCAAAAGAGATGAAAACTGGAGTTACTTGGCATAGGTTGTAGCTGGGTAACAGATGGGAATGAGCAGACAGAAAAGACATTATGTTATTCAGCATAAACTGCAGAAATGGTTCCGTAATGAACACAAATGTCATTTTCACTACTGCCGCAATGCATTTCTGTTAGCAATTTCAAGAGTCACAAAAAGTGTGATCCTTCAAGCAAAGTTTCTGTTTCAAAGAGCTAAAAAGTTCAGATGAAATGCCTGGTATGAAAAAGCGGGACAGACAATTGATTTTCGGTCAGGAGAGTTAAAGCAATTAATTGATATGAAATAATAAATATTGATAGATAAGGAAGATCATGATCCATCAGTATCTTAGCAAATCGTTTCAATCTGAACATAATCATAAAAAAATACTTGTGTGAAACGTGATGAAAACAATTCAATATATGAAATTTCCTTCAACAGTGCAAACAGTAATTACATACCAAAAGCCATCCTCTTCCAATGCCTCCACAATCATGCCAACATTGAATTTGCAGGGGGACATCTATGGACAAAATCAGTGTTATGTGTGTTTATATTAAAGCATGGTACCAGTGTTCGAAATACCTGCCTGCCCGACCGTCCGAGACGGGTTGATTTCAACTCGGGCTGCCAGATTTTCAAATCCCCCTGCCCGACGGTCAGGTTATATTTCATATGTAAAAATATTCTAAATATTTCCCGATGATAAGCATTATTTACATGATGTATTCTAGGATATTAAATACAAATCTGACCTAAAAAGTGTTTGCTATTTCTTTTCTTGCATTACTTCATGTTCAATGAATTCGATTTAAAGTTTTAATTAAATTATCCTGAGAAACATATGATTATAGTGGGCAGGCAGGTTTTGGTCAGGGCTGGCAAGTATTTCAGCTAGCCAGTCCTGTGGTCTGGCTGAAATTTTGGGAGTTTCATACCCTCATGGTACTAAGTGGACAAAGAGGACTCAGTCATTTCTGTATATTCTATTTTGAAGTTTTCAATTTATATTTTAACAATTTAAAGCGAAGGCATATCAGATTGTTTGAACTGGATACTGATGATTCATATCTTATACCAGATGCTGTATGACAAATACCGTATTCGACGTAATAAGCGCCCAGGGCGCTCTCAAAATTAGAAATTGGGGGCTCTTATTAGAATAGTATTTTGGTGAAAAAAAACAGAGTTGAAAGATAAATTTCTTGGTTTATGCTGACAGTCTGATATTTTTATATACGACAGATATATTTTTCCAGAATTTAATAACCCATAATTAAGGCTGCATATAACACACGAGTGCGTATTATACGTGAATAAATAAGTCTTGTGTACATTGATCAATTGGAAGCGGTGCTAATTGGGATTGTTCACTCGCCAATATATTAACAAATATCGCCGTGGGCGCTTATTAGAGTGGGGCGCTTATTACGTCGAATACGGTAAGCCAAATAAGGGAAGAAAAATACACAAATACAATCCACATTGTATTAACACAGTGCCTGTGTCAATTTCCAGTTTTTCACAATACTGATCTTGCTATAGGAGTGAGTGAGTGAGTGAGTTGGGTTTAACGCCGTTTTAACAGTATTCCAGTCATATCCTAGCGTGTCAGCTTCATGTGGGAGGAAAGCCCGAAGTGATGCAGGTCTTAGACGTCTTGCTATAGGAAATGTGGTGATTATCATATTGATAAAACAGTGAATCATTAGCTCTCATCTGAATAAAAAACATGTGGATAGTAATGTTACCAAGGATCATAATCAGGGCGAGTCGGGCAGTAACTGACAAGCTTATATGCTAGTGTATACATGTATGTGGATTTTCATGGGCCATGGACACTGTTGCTGTGCATGTCAATAACTGATATTGATCATGTTGATGACGATCTCCAGAATTAACGTTTTTGTTCCTATTTTTGTATTGTTGCTTAACACTGCACTCAGCAACAATCCAGCCTGTTCATAAGCGACTCTTGACAACCTAGTGGTTGATGTTATGAGCAACAATTCACCCTACTGGCATGATTGGGGTACGATGACACACAATCAACAGTGAGTGAGTGAGTTGGGTTTAACGCCGCTTTTAACAGTATTCCAGTTATATCACGGCGTGTCAGCTTAATGTGGGAGGAAAGCCCGAAGTGATGCAGGTCTCAGACGTTTACCACTTCGATGAAACCCACGAGCACGGGTATGGTGCTGACAAACCTAGAAACATAATCGGGGCGAACCGGGATTCAAACCCACAATCATAGGTTTCTGGCGTGCCCAAGGGACGCAACTCTGCACAGCGAATCGCGGAATTAGACGACTGGGCCACCCATGCCCCCCACAATCAACAGAGTCACACAAACTGAGTAGTCACCCAAATCGACCAGCATAGATCAATTCTAACCCCGGACTCGAAACAAGGTAAGAATGAAGGTACATTTACCAAGTCTAATGTAACACCAGAGAAACTAAACATTCCATTTTATGCAGTTCCTGTCTTAGAACTTGGTTCTGTGTCCTCAGCTCCTGAATCAAAGAGTCCTTCTCTTTCAGTTGTTCTTGCAGCACTAATACTTCAGCAGCTGCCTCCTGATTGTTTCCAGTTCCCTTCAAATATAATATACATTTTCATTGTCATACTAATGATAATAATCACAAAACAACTATAGAAATGATTCTCATGTTGACGTTCCTTGAGTGAGTGAGTGAGAGTGTTTAAATGACAAAGATCTGATTCTGTCCTTACCTTGTTTTCTTGTTTAATCTGTTTCAGTTGATGGTTGAATTCTTCTTTGGAGATATCACCATTTCTTAATTCTGTTTTCTATAAAGGGTTGCCTCATCTTTAAATGAAGCAGTCTCCAAGGAAAGACATGTGTTGACTTTTGTATTCCTTTGCTCCTTAAGTTTACCAAGGCTGAATAATTCCATGATATCAAGGATGAGACGATAACATCTGTCTGAGGTTGTAGCTACTGCTAGCTGAACTTTGAAACGGCCACCAAAACGGTGCTGGAAAAAGGCAACAAATAGAAGATTCAAAACATATTCAGTAAAAATCAACAAATGAATACATCTTAACATGCATTACATGTCTTAAAGAATACATGAGAAAATGAGAAAAATAATATGTAAGCCAGCTGTTACACTAGCTTCAGGTGCTCAATATCATTTGGGTTTTCTAATTAGCATGTCCAATAATGCAATCGTTTTCCATGTGGTACTTATGTGGCTATAACTCATTCAGAGTTAGCATCACCACCCGGCTACAAGTACAGGTGTTCAAAACTGCATCACACTGATAGAATTGTAATACATGACATGACATCATGGGATATTGTTATGGTACATAACCTCATGTGTGGCCACATGGAAAATAGGCTATGATATCTTACACATGAGTGAGTGAGTGAGTGAGTATGGTTTTACGCCACTTTTAGCAATATTCCAGCAATATCACGGCGGGGGACACCAGAAATGCTTACACGTGAGGTCTCTGTTGGTTTCACTGCTGCCTGGCACTGTTTCCTCCATTGAGTATCTGCACTGCAAAGAAGTGCTGTCTCACTTTTACCAGCTTTGGGGTGAAGGTTGTGAAAGGCCTAGAGAAAAAATAAAATGAAACATTATATGCGATATATCAAAAGTGCTGGAAATAAGACAGAAATGATTGTCCATCGAACTGGATTAGTGCACACATATTTTGTGAAAGATTTTTCTTAAACTGCTTTACAGTATTTGAAATTCAGAGGAAGTCGGGGGTGTTGAGGTCTTCCTGTATGATATTTGAATCTAGGAACCTTCCAAACTTGTAAAATTGGGGATGACAAGGATCCCATGCTTAATTTGGTACCAGTGGTCTGTGGGGTGGATTAACACTGCATCCTTCCTATTTCACGGAGAGGAATATTCATAAGGGAAACACGTCTGGCTAAAAAAATATAAATATGTTACCATTACTATAGCCTTAAAATTAAGGGGTTGTTCATCTGTAGGAGAGGCCTCTGCCAGGGACATGCAGGGTGTGTCCACTGATTTGGCAGCCAAAACAGCTCCTGAAGAAATACACATGAGATATAGCCTATATATAAAAAGAAAGTAGTAACTTATAGTTTTGTTTAATTTTTTTTTTTCTCTACCTTCATATTTAACTTTATATACACTCATCAGCATGTCAAGTGTCTCCAGGCAGTCGTCTGCATCTTCTGTTTTGTACGAGCGGATACAGCTTTTTTGAAAAGGGGGGGGGGGGGGGGGGGGGGGGGGGGGGGGATGCACAATTAAGATCTATTTATTGTGTTTGATGGTAATTTATACAGAAATAAAGATTTTTTTCGAAATAAAGGGGGGCACCCCCCTCTGTATCCGCCCATGATATGCTCCCGACGACTGCTCCTTGTTCTTTGCACACATGCCACGCCCCTTGAATTTTCCCAAACAGCGATCGTGTCGCATATATACTCCATCAAAAAGTATCTCCCTCTCACCCTCGGTCCAATTCAGCCTCCTCTTGCCACCATCTACATTAAACCGTCGCATCTCGTATGTTGACACTCATGTGCAGACGGCAAAGTGTTTACGGTCCAGTGTTTACATTGAACACGGAAGTCAAATCTCGCGCCAAGGCCGCTTACATCGCATAAAAAAACAACTGAGATCGGACTTAAGTCCTGAGTTAAAAACTCAGCTGAGTTTTTGCTGAGTTTGATTCGAGAAATGCAGTTGAGTAAAAAACTCAGCTGAGTTTTTTTTGTCGCTTTGTTGACGTTTTGCAATCGGTACTGAAAGTGTTGCCCTTGATGTATGAATATCACACTTTTAAAAATTAAGAAGATTAATTTGTATATGTTTCTTAGTCTATGGTGTAGTATCGCCGAGCAGGCTACATCATATGCATGCATTTAGTTTGTACAGCGGTACGCGAAATGTGAAGGTCTAATGCAAAGTAAAGTTGCCCGTAGCCTCAATGTTGTGAATATTGACAGCAACACATGTAAGTATTTGTCAGATATAACTGAGAGCAATGAGAAATGTTCTCAAGAAATTGTAAGAGTAACAGGCACTCTAGTAGGGCTGGGATGAGTCTAAATTTACTACCCGGGTACCCACCCCCCTAATACCCGACCCTACCCGGGTACCCACTGTAGGTCTCAGATGTCTTAAAATGTCCGATTGGGAACATTTTTAGCATAGCCGTGGCAAAACGTATTTAGATACATGTATTAAACAATCTGGTCATTCATACACTGAAGTTGAATCAAGTTATATCTTTGTTCAACCATATGAAAAATCAGAAGGAATGGGTGCATAGTCAGAAAGAAATGCGAACATTAATGACTTGTAGTGTAACCATAGAGTTCCAGATAATTTTTGTAATTAAACAATATATCACGTGACTAACCACGGTTCCAGGTAGTCCTGTAGGTACCCGGGTCCTTCTCAGTACCCACCCGACCCGGGTACCCGAGTTACCCGTCCCAGCCCTACACTCTAGTCATCAACTAGATATCATGATACAATGTTCAAAATAAAAGAAATGGAAATCACTGAAATTTGATTTTATTAAATTGTAGTCCATGGTAGTATTTGTTGTGATTTGAATGCTTGAATTGTTGTGGGAAATAACACAAAGACTGATAAATAAAATGAGTTTGCATTATTTCATCGATGCAATATGTTAGCCCAGACTGACAGAATGCCTCGCTGTTTTCTGACGTAGAAAATACCGTGGCAATATTCCATTTTTCATGACGTTTTTCCCGCTATATTCCATTGTGACAATTCGTCTTGTAGTTGAAGACTCAACAAATGTTGATATTATAAACTATTAATCACTACAAAATATGTGCTAGTTAAAAGTATTCAGTTGTAAACGACCGTTGCCGAAGGTGCAACAGGATAACTCTTTAGCTTGGCTCCGTCTCTACATGTCAGTAGTTGTCGCAGCGCGCATTGATCCGGGAACCAGACCGGAAGCGACAGTTTTGACCGTCGCTTATATCATTTCAAAAGGAGAGTTATTGCCCTTTGGAACCAAAAAATCAAGCTCCTTCCCAGCGCGTGACACCTTCGTTACACTCTCGGTATAGAGAGCTCCGCAAACGGGTTATCGCTGTGAGGAGCTTGCAAAAAGATCGCCCATTGATAAAATACAGGATGACAATGAAACTTGCGCAATGTAGCACACGTGACTATATTGATTGTTTGGTCTCCTGGGAACCGAGGTGTTTGTGTTGACTTAATCGTGGATGAGTTTCTACATTTTGTGGATAGTAACAACTAGAATATACTCTGTTGTACGATGGGAACAGATTCACTTGAAGGAGCACTAGGTCCTGACTTGTACCTCGCTGTCTGACACTGCCTGCTTAATTGAGCTCATCAGCTGCCGTGAGTTTATGTTTTCTGTCTGACGCAACTGAGTGTGAGGTGAGGTGAAATTGGGTTTAACGTCGCGTCCAAGATTATTGCACATATAAAGCGACGCGCATGCACGTGTGTGTGTGTGTTTGGCTGCTTATACTAGTCCGGACTGATGCCGATTTATAGTGCTAGCTCACTGAGATACCATGCCGCAGTGTAACATGAATACCCCACTCAGACACAGTATACTGACTCCGAGCCGACCAGTCCTTGTTTTAGGCCCTTAAAGGGGCACTGATCTAACGCAATTCCCCGGGACTGGTTGTTGCCTTTGTTATTGTTTTTTCCCAGTGAGTACCCGGATGTATAGCAGAAATCAAGACTAGTTCGCGACCTCTGCTGAGCCATTCGTTAGCGCATTAGTCGCTTTTATGGGTAGTAATAAGGGCGTATGGTCACATTGATGAACAAAATGAAATGCAGTTTTCGAGATAATAAGGAAATGTAGGTATCTTTGTGGGTAGCATCGGTAATGGTGACGAAGTTTTGATAAGTCACTTGCTTGGTAATTTTGCGATTTTCGTTTACACTATTTTGACTTGCAACACAAAGTACATATTTCACCTGAGCATTGCTTTTTTATAGTGTGTATTTTTTTTAACTGTCAAATGTGTAACGAATTTATTAAAGGTCTAAATATTCAGTTATTTTACAAAGTGACTAAAAAACATTTCCATCTGTATTATTATGATAACGAATTCCAAACATTTTGATGTTTAATGTCATCACCAAGAGACTGAAAATGTTGGGGTGAGAAAAGTACATTTCTATGTTGTTTGGCTTCTAATCCTACATAATAATCTGTTGTGATGTTTGTAGGCCCTTTTGTTCGTCTTAATCAATCTGGACAGATTTTTTAGTCAAAATGACTGAAATATTTACACATTTTATAAATTGCCTGAGAGAATCAATTTTTACAAATTGACGGTAATATATACACGCTTACAAAGGAAAAGACCTGTGAAAACAACGTCTATCGCGCATTGAAGAATTTCCCAACCAAGACGTAGAGAAACAAGAACGAATCGGTTCAAATGAGGAAAACAAAATGCAAATATCATAATTACAACCTACCAAATTTATGTGTATAATTTTTAGGCAGCGTCCTTGTTCGAGGAATGTATCCGTGAATATCCACACAAAGGAACAATATCCCACTCGTCTGCAGATGTACAAAGAAACTTATTCGATGTCACGTGTCTCAGTAACAATCAAATTTTTTAAAAGATATATGTCGTTTCGGGATATTATAACCCGTGTTCGTTTCTCAACTGATCACTTGGATTGTTTCAGGTGTTTTACATAGGTGTCAAGTCTCAATGGTCGGCTGAGAAAGCCCACATGATAACTATTTTCATAACGTTCACAGTTCCTAAAAAATCCATTGAGTGATAGATAACAATGATCAATCAATCAACGTATTATCAGTTAACCCTTTGACCAAAGTATGTTGTTTTTACATCGGCACTTCACGCCATGGTATGAGTGTATTCCCTTTGTTTTAGTAAACCTAGACATGTAAACACTCACTCTTGACATATCCACTGTGCAAGATAACAGTGATTAATCAATCAACGTATTTTCTGTTAATCCTTTGATGACTAGGAACGTTCCGTTGATTTACAAAAAAATAAATCAACTGATCATTTATCTCTTGCTGGGCTGCCACGTGCATATTACATAACACACATTTCACCTCACTTCAAACCTGGATTTAGATTGAATAATTACCCCAAACACAATAAATGCCAAATGGGAACCTTTGTCAGGTAATCTAAGTGGTGCTACCACTAATTGTACCTGTAATAAATTCATTAACTGAGCATCAAGTGAATGACGACAAATACACAAGTGAAGGGTTATACGAGAAAACGTGGATGTCAACAAGGGAGTAGTAATCGTATTATCGACGCAAGCCGAAATCCGAAAATGCTTTCACTGCATGGATACTTTTTTTAGTATAAAACTATAACCATCTGGGGTATTTCCAAATGACGACATCCGATGAGCTCCGCTGTTCTTTTTGTCTGCTTGTTTAGGCTGAAGAAATTAATTAACATGCACCCTTTGTCGAAATCTGTATAGATCACAGTTAACCAATCAGTGTTTATGCAAAAATGCGTAAAACAAATATTGCCTCCAGCCTCCAAGTTTATTTAGCTGTCCTTGCAGACGGTAGCCCAGTCTCTGGTCACGCTCAGTTGCGTTGCGTATCATCCGGGTACTCACGGGGAAAAAAACAATAACAAAGGCAACAACCAGTCCGGGGAATTGCGTTAGATCAGTGCCCCTTTAATGCCGAGCGCTAGACTGGGTAACAACAAGTACCATCTTTTAACGTCTTTTGGTATGACGCGGCCGGGGATCGAACCCCGGACCTTCCGCTCTCCGGGCGGACGCTCTACCACAAGACCATGGAGGCGGCCTCAACTGAGTGTGACGAGGGATTGGGCTACCATAGGTATATTAATTAGGACAGCGGATGATAAAAGTATGTTCAAGTATAAGGTGTATACTTTTATATGCTGACCAGGATATAAGGTGTAATTAGACTTGACTTGAGGTAAGGGGATTTCAGTTGGGTGAATTGTTTGTTATGTAATTGAATGTACAGCTTGTGATCT